TGTGTGTAGATTATCGGTCCTTAAATAAAGCTACAATACCAGATAAGTACCCAATTCCTATAGTCGATGAGTTGTTAGATGAATTATATGGAGCTGCTATGTTTTCTAAAATTGATCTAAAATCTGGATATCATCAAATCAGAGTGCATGAGCATGACATCCCTAAAACGGCATTTAGAACACATAATGGCCACTATGAGTATTTGGTCATGCCGTTTGGACTGATGAATGCCCCGGCTACCTTCCAAGCTACCATGAATGACATTTTTAGACCATATTTGAGAAAGTTAGTCTTGGTGTTTTTTGACGATATTTTGATTTACAGTAGAGATATCAAGGAACACCAAAGGCATTTGAAGATGGTTTTGTCGGTTTTGGTGGATCATTGTTTTGTGGCAAACCAAGCAAAGTGTAGGTTTGGGTGCGCACAAATTGATTACCTTGGCCATATCATTTCTGGTGAGGGTGTGGCAGTGGACCCTGAGAAGGTGAAGTGTATTCTTGCGTGGCCTACGCCAAAGAACGTGAAGGGGGTACGTGGTTTTTTGGGACCCACAGGGTATTATAGAAAGTTCATCCGGGATTATGGTAATAGCAAAACCTCTCACTGACTTGACTAAGAAAGACAATTTTTCTTGGGGAATAGAAGCTGCCAAGGCTTTTGAGGAAATGAAGAGGATCATGACTTCTCCTCCTGTGCTAATCCTTCCAAATTTCGAGTTACCCTTTGAGGTTGAGTGTGATGCGGCTGGCAGGGGTATAGGGGCTGTTCTAATGCAGCAGAGGCAACCTATTGCTTTCTTCAGTAAAGCTTTATCTGATGGGAATCTGGCAAAATCTGTTTATGAGAAGGAACTAATGGCCCTTGTGCTGTATATTCAACATTGGAGACATTATTTATTGGGCAGAGAATTTATTGTGCATACAGATCATAAGAGCTTGAAACATTTTTTGCAGCAGAGAATTTCATCTCCAGATCAGCAGTGCTGGTTGGCCAAACTTCTAGGCTATCAATTTGAAGTCAAGTACAAGCCTGGCCTAGAAAATAGAGTCGCTGATGCTCTGTCTAGATGTCATGGTGAAATAGAAATGAATTCTATCATTTCTTTTCCTTTGTGGGCTGATAGACAGAAACTTTTGACTGAAATAAATAATGACCCGTACATTCAAAGGTTAATGAAAGAAGTGCAGGAGTCTCCTGAGCTTAGACCTGGGTTTCAGGTGCAACAAGGAGTTTTACTTTATCATGGCAGGCTGGTGATTTCCCCCGAATCACCCTCTATCCCTTGGCTATTGGAAGAATTTCACAATACTCCTGCTGGAGGGCACTCAGGTTTTCTAAGAACATACCGCAGACTGGCAGATTCCTTATATTGGGTGGGAATGCAGAGGAGTGTAAGGGATTATGTCAGATCCTGTGATGTTTGTCAGAGACAAAAGTACAGTGCTACGACTCCTGGTGGTTTGTTACAGCCTTTACCTATTCCTAATGGTGTGTGGGAGGACTTGTCCTTAGACTTTATCACTGGGTTGCCTAAGTCTAAAGGTTATGAGGTTGTGTTAGTGGTAGTGGATAGACTATCCAAGTATAGTCATTTTGTTTTACTCAAACATCTGTATACTGCTAAATCCATTGCTGAACTCTTGGTCAAAGAAGTGGTGAGACTTCATGGAATTCCAAGCTCTATAATTAGTGATCGTGATCCTTTATTTGTGAGTCATTTCTGGATGGAGTTGTTCAAGTTGCAGGGAACGAAACTGAAAATGAGTTCAGCATACCACCCGGAAACAGATGGTCAAACGGAAGTGGTTAACAGGTGCTTGGAAAGTTATTTGCGGTGTTTTGCTTCTGATCATCCAAAGACTTGGTCATTGTGGGTCTCGTGGGCGGAGTATTGGTACAACACTATCTTTCATGTATCTATTGGGAAGACTCCGTTCGAGGTAGTTTATGGGAGACAACCTCCTGCATTGCTGAGATTTCTGTCTAATGAGACGAAAGTAGCTGCCGTGGCATTGGAATTGAGTGAAAGAGATGAGGCTCTAAACCAACTCAAACTTCATTTGCTCAAGGCGCAGGAACAAATGTCAAGGTATGCTAACATGAAGAGGAGGGACTTGTGTTTTGAAGTTGGTGAATGGGTTTTTCTGAAACTCATACCTCATAGACAACAGTCAGTGGTGAAAAGGATTCATCAGAAACTCGCTGCAAGATTTTATGGACCGTTCCAAGTGGCGGAAAAAATTGGTGAAGTGGCTTACAGGTTGAAACTGCCAGCAACATCTAAGGTTCACCCAGTCTTTCATGTTTCATTACTCAAGAAAGCTGTTGGGAACTATCAGGTACAGGGAGAGTTACCAAAAGATTTGGAGGTGATCGAGGAGAATGATGTATATCCTGATAAGGTGCTGGGTTCAAGAGTCACAGTGCAGGGAGGTAATGAAGTTCAGCAGTCCTTGATACAATGGAAAAACAAAGCTTCAGAGGATGTGACATGGGAGGATAACGAATTTTTGCGTGGTCAATTTCCTGAATTCTGCCTTGAGGACAAGGCATTGTCTAAGGAGGCAGGAGTTGATAGATATGTGATTAGAGAAGTGGGACCTAGGCCAAGGGTGTGGAGAGTTTACATGAGGAAGAAAACAAAAGGAATTAAAGATGATGACGTGGCTGTGAATGAATTAAGGGCATGAGAGTGGCTATATATAGCTACAGCTGGAAGGGAATATTGAGGACAGAATTCTGTTAGGATTTGGTGGGGTCACTTTTGGTGATTTGGGAGCACTCTGTGCTTGGGAATTGGTAGCCACTACCAGTTTGTTATTTTCTTTTTCTTCATTCCCATTTTCCTGTAGTTGTGGATCTGATAGTAATACAATTACAATTTCTTATCACACTGTTTTATCCATTTCTTTACTAATTTGTGCTTTAAGACCCATCATCCTCCTTGTTCGTGTGCACCCTTTCCCATTTTATCCATGTAGGCAACGCACTTAGTGGGATAAGGCTCAGCTGTCGAGATAAGGCTTGATGGTTGTTGTTATATCCCTTCTCCTATAATATGTTTAAACGGTTTATCAGTTTTCTGATGGTGTGGTGAATTTGGTCCATGACTTTCTAGGACTGTTAGGTTGGGGGTGCCTCTCGCAGAGAAATTCCAAAGACTTTATCACGTTTCAGATGAGAGACGATATGATTGGTCATATGGTGGGTGGGTGGGTCATGGATCATAGATGAAGGAAAGGTATATTTGGAGGAGGAGTTGCTTGTCTCTTTGTTTATGACTCTGAATGGAGCTCATTTGTCCCATGAGGACTCTTAGTTGTGGAAGCACGACTCTTCGGGCATGTACTCGATTAGCTTTGTTTATTTGGTGCTTCCGGAGGTTGCCCGTGCGGGGGCGGCCACTCGAAAGAGGTGATTAGGACTTTATCGAGTGTGAGGAAAAGTTGGGTGTCCAATAAGGTCAAAGTTCTTTTTCGGTGTTAAGAAATGTGGTTGGGCCTAACTCAACCCTACAAAACCGGTTTGTAGAGTGAGGATTGCCACACATGTTCATGCCATATATTGTCCGATGTGGAACTCTTACCACACCCCCTCACGCTCAGGACTAAACAACTGAAGCGTAGAAATAAATGGTGGGTGGCCCGATAGCGGAAACCATAGAAGGTGGTCCACCGGATCTTAAACGAGACTTTTGATACCATGTTAAGAAATGTGGTTGGGTCTAACTCAACCCTACAAAACCGGTTTGTAGAGTGAGGATTGCCACACATGTTCATGCCATATATTGTCCGATATGGGACTCTTAACATTCGGCAATTACTTCAGGATAGAGCTCCGACTGGATCAACTTTTTGCAACTTGTGATTTTGTGTATAGTGTGTTTAGGTGGTTAGGATGGGAGATGGTGATGCCTTTGAGTATTATTCTTGTTGATATTTTCTTCTCGTTTGGGGTGGGGAAGAGCGTTAGATCCGGTTTGGGTTTGATTTGAAATTTGGTTGTGCGACTCATTTGTAAATCATGTAACGACCTAAAATCTTCCCGGGAAAGGATTATGATTGTTCAATATTTGATGGATAGAAATAGTATATTATTTTTTCCTCCTGCGAGTGGTTCTCACTAAATCTGGGGATTTTTCATATTCTCACTCTGAACGGGAAGGTGATTCTCACTAGTGTTTGGTCCGATAATGCTCTGTTGTTGGCGGTGGCGATCCGGTCTGAGCTTGGTTTGGCCCTTGATCTTCTGCACCCTTTGGTGGATTGGGCGGTGGTTCTCTCTACTCTTATTGGCCTGTGCAAGTGTGGTGGTGTTGGCATGTACTGGGTGGAGTGGTTTTGTTGTGTTATTTTTATCTCTTTTACTCAGTTTTGTACTCTGTTTTGGTACAGAATACTCCTAGTACTACTTTTCTGTTTGTAACCGCTTTTTCTCTATTTTATATTTTTTGCCATTGACAAAAAATCATGCAAGTCTATGAGACCCGCCAATAAACTAAACCATACAGCTCTGAATCTCTTTGCAATGAGTACTGAGGTTAACAATTATCATGATATTTATGGGGGGACTTTGCAATGAGTACTGTTAAGAAGTGTGGTTGGGCCTAACTCAACCCTACAAAACCGGTTGGTAGAGTGAGGATTGCTCCCACTTATAAACACATGTTCATGCCATATATTGTCTGATGTGGGACTCTTAACACACTCCCTCACGCTCAGGACTGGACAACTGAAGCGTGGAAATAAATGGTGGGTGGCCCGATAGCGGAAACCATAGAAGGTGGTCCACCGGATCTTAAACGAGGCTCTGATACCATGTTAAGAAGTGTGGTTGGGCCTAACTCAACCCTACAAAACCGGTTGGTAGAGTGAGGATTGCTCCCACTTATAAACACATGTTCATGCCATATATTGTCCGATGTGGGACTCTTAACAAATACTAAGGTTAATAATTATCATGAAAACATTAGTGTATGTTATACATTCAATTCTACCTGAATCTCTGAGTAGCTGCCCCCAATACAGCGTTGAACAACACTCAATGCCTCCTCAGTAATATCGTGTTCCTCAAATGCCATCCTGACATATTCAATAGTCAAATAGTAGTTTTAGTAAATGAGAAACTTAAAAATGAAGTGGGAAAATGATGAACAATGAGTTTAAATATGGTGTTAAATTTAAACATTTTGTTGTGTGGCAATGATAAAGGACTTATTCAACTGCAGCTCCAAGGAAAAACATTCGAGAACCAGCAAGGCATCTATATCATTACAAAATTCAATATGGAAATTGAAGATCCATATCACTTATAACAACAAATACTGCAACTAGGATCTCAAGCTCTTATGGTTATTTTATACTTATTCACATATAAATAAAACTTCTAAATGTAAGTATAATAATACATCTCCATTTTGATTTACCATAGAATTTGGTCTTCACCCTGAGAAAAATCATGTTTAGCTTCCCTATTCTCTTTGCACTCTTCTTCGGTGTCACTACATATCCTTGTTTCACCACAATGTTGATCATAGTATATGTTTCTTCGTGCTGCAAATGATTGATCTTTGGTCATTCTCTCGTTCCTATTTTGTGCAAAAGATTTTAATAAAGCAATAAATACACAATGAAAATGACATATGAATGATGGCATTAAATATATATATTTTAAAGCGGAATAGAGTTTAAGAATAAACATTTGTTTTCAATTTTCACAAATGCACATTATAGGATTTCTAGATTTTTAAAATGGGAAAATAAGACTCACCTGGCCAAATGTAACCAAAATGTATATGGAGGTATCTTTTCAGTGTATGGTAACTTGAAACTTTTCTCAAAGGATACATCTTGATTTTGTATTTGTTCTCTCCTTCCTAAACCTTGACGGAAACCACTAAACTTACTGACAGGATTGTCAATTCTTGAAGAAAGCATTTTAGCATTAGCTTCCTCGGTCTGTAATGAGGTATTTCTTGACACCGCTGCCATGACCTCGGAAAGTTGAAACCTAAGATTCTCCCTATTTATCCAAAGTTTATCCTGAGGAAATTAAAAATTAAGTCAAAGCTAAATATCAAGGTTGACAAAAAGAACTCTTGTCCACCATTCATATAGAAATTGGGAAAATAAATTCAAACAATAAATAATTAAGTATTTCAATCATACCACTAAAGTAGGGGGAAAAAGGCAAGAAAATGGCAGAGCTCATTATGAAACCCTAAACAGCTAATTTGAAACGTGATTTAATTTGACAGACTGTTATAAACATTGGAATTATCCAATTTTCTGCAAAAATAAATAAAGAGGAAATCGACTGATAATTCCATAAAAACAAGTTAACTCAGGACCAAGTACGTAAATGTCCCTAGGAGATCAACTTGATTTCCCTCAATTTACAATAGAATAAAATTCTAGCAAACATAATGACACAAAAGCTAGATCAATTCAAATAATCACCCACCCAATTGAACTTACTTTAATTGATTTAAATCGCTCATCTTGGATCTTTTCTTTTAACAAATGTATTTTGTTCGTCAAGAATTGACGACCGTCAATAGCTGCCTCTCCATGTTGTTTCTGTCCATGGAATAAAATCTCACTGATACATAGAAAAATACATGCATCTACACAACGATTCGATGAAATGATTATTTGGTTACAACACTTCTTGATCTCATTAGAAAAAAAGTAACTTGCAATCGTCGGAGTTGAATTTTGAAAAATCACTACCATATATATGAAAATGAGAAATGAAAACCTAAAAGGAATGGAATTAAAGAAAGCAAAAGTAAATAGGAGAATGGAAATCGATACAAACTTTAGATCTTGATGTTGAAGTTATGCTGTTTGAGGCCATTGATGAATCGAGAAGAGCGCAGCGCAACTTCGACGAAAGCACAAGAATCAAGAGTTTTAACTGAGCAAAGGAAGCAATACCACTCTTTAAATATGAGGAAAACACCCGACATTGCACAATATCCTCAATATATAAAACGCTTTTTTAGTAAAAATAATAATTAATGCATCTTGATGCTTTACTTGTTACTCCTTATTTTCTATGGGCACTTGGGCCACCACTCTAAATGCTGATATTTTTTCCTTCAAAAATTATATTTGTTTCTATTACTAGCATATATGAAATTTAGTATATGACATTGTTTTTTCTTAAATCAAAGTATTTTAGACAATACCATTTGAACCACCAACCCAAGGAGTCCATTTAAAAGACAATTGGAGACAACTTCATGCTTTAGGAAAGCCTTACATCGAGTAGGGAATGCTAGAGTTCTGCTCTACTAGGTAACAGACACTTAAACATCGATGAAAGCCACAAATAAACCTTCATTACTTATCTTTGTTGAGGCTACCACAAGTTTCTATACGGTGAATCTTGTTTCATAGAAACACCATTGTTAAACTTGAAGAAACCAATAAGTAACCAAAGATACTTGGACCTCATGTGTATTTCCTTTAGGCTTTGTTTGGGAGTTTGTAGGGAAAGGGAGAGGAGGGTTTGAAAAAAGGGAAGGGTGAAGTATGAATTGAGGGATTTAGGTGGAGAGGGTTTTGGAAGGTATAATTTTATTAATAATACAAAAATCCCCTAGTTTTGAGGAACTAATAAACTGTATTGGATAAGGGGTTTGGAGGGTTTGGGAGGGCTTAGATACATTCTTCAATTATAACCTATGTTATGATATGTTGAAAATTAAAAATATATTAATGATAAACATCTATTTATCATTCTAAACAAAATTATTTTTTCAAAAAATGTTAAATATTTCTCTATTTATTCTTTAAATCTTCTTCCTCGGAAGCTCTCCCTCCCCCTTCCCCTCCTAACTCGCAAACAGGGCCTTAACGAAAAATAGGGGAAGAAGCCGCATAGAGGTCGATTAAAAAAGACTTCTAAAGTTGGGTTTGTGCCTGACTTAATACCAGGAGACTTGACAAATTTTGAGCTGTTAATTCAGATTTAGAGCTGACTTTAAAATTTTCTTCTTAATTCAAGTAAAGCATTAACCGAATTAACATGTATTATTTTAATGTTTCTTAAAAAAATACCATTTTAGCCACAGCTTAACCGTGGCAAACGACTTTTAAATAAAAATCCAGGCCTTCTACAGGTGCCTGCCAAATATCCAAAAGCAAATAATTTCGCCTGATTCAATGACACAAGGACTACTATTTATTTTTCTTTAAAAACCAGCAAGTAATCAAACAAAAATAGAGAAACAAAAGAAAAATTCCACAAATAATAGCAGCTCAAATTTAAACACAAGCTAGTCACATTGCATGGTGATTTTCTTTTTGAAACGGCTAAATATATTAACACAACTCAAATCCGAGCACAAAGCGTACTAGCAGGGGGAAAAACAAAGGAAGAACATCCCACTACTACTATCCTACAAACACCAAGACAACAAAGTCTAATACACATGAGGGCCATCTGGATTTCAATACCAAAAAAACAGTTACCAGCTAACTAAACAAGGATTATAGCACCAGGAACTAACAGACAACAACAACAAAACGAAAACGGAAGAGAAACTGGCTAAAAACCAAAGGACAGGCTCGGTTACCATTTAATCCTCATCAAAGAATAACCGTTCAGCACAGTCAAACAAAATATCCTGAATTCCATGCCTTTCCAATTACAATTAAAGGAGGCACTTGACCACACAGTCCTAGTATGGATATGCAATACTTAGGAACTCAAGTTTACAAAGCAAGTAAAGAAACTTGAAACTTATACCTTTGCAATCACTTCTGCTGAACTAACTCATATTTCTTCTCTTAGTTCCCTGATAGCAGCATTTCTCAGAAACTCACCTTCATCAATACCACAAGTATTTGGTAAGCCTAATAGAGAACCATGTGAACAAAAAAAGATATCCATACACAAGTATGTGTTACAACAAAAAGGAATATGCTATTAAACTCGTATACTTAATAAAAAAAACTAAATTTAAATAGATATATAATGCACAATATAGAAACATAGCTAAAAATAATAATAAAGATTCAATTACTAGAAATGATCAAAACAAGGGAGAGTTACATCTTTTCCGCGCCAAGAAAAATATAACAAAAACATCATTAGTACTATCCAAAAAGAGCGTATTAGTAAGATTCAAAAAGAACATCATTGCCTAATGTTTAATACTTAACAGTTAACTCTAATGGTGTTGGTCTCCTCTCTCACATTCTCATCATCGAGAGACAGTGAAGCGTTCTATTATGCCCTGACTCTTCATCTCTTGACTCCTTATCATTCTTTTTATATGTTTTTCATTTCTTCTATTCATTTTCTAAAAGAAAATAGGGAAGAAAAGGTTTTAAAAAATTGTGTCTGTTGTACTGTTATTGCTGTGCTGTATCCTGTGTGTATCGGTTCCCTCCTCCGTAATCTGTGACACCAATACTTTAGCAACTTTGGAGTATCAAGACTTAATAAGAAATACAGATCCAGGGTGAATGAATTTCCAGAATAGTAAGAGACACAGTTAAACAAGTTCGTTGGTTTAGAGTTAATGTTTAACATGATATGAACAATCCCTACAAAATTTACATAGTTGATCATAAGGAGTAAAGATTTTCTCTTAAAAGTGAAAAGTAGAGGATCTTACTTTGGCCCAATTAACCAATGCTTTCTCCTCAACCTCTTCCACGGGAGCAGTCTCCTGAGCAGCCTTCCCGCGTCTTTCATCTTCTTACAACAAAATATCATCACAATCAACACATGAAACTAATTATGAAATGTAATTAATCTTCTTAAGGACAGCATGGAATCATGTTATTTCTACCGAGTGATTCATGAAACCATTTAATTAGAGTTTTTCTAATTTAAAACTAAAGCTCATACTGGCAAATGCTATATGCAGACTTGTGAACTACGGGCTAATTAAGTTTTGAACATCTAATTAGCTTGTTATGCTAACATATACAAATGAAACAATAAAACAGTCCTTCTACAACTAGTTGATCAAGCATTGTAGGATATATGGATTTCATTTAACCTCTCTTCAGTGTCCATAGGTGTTTATAGCTATGAAGCACGGACTCCGACATGGACACTCCAACACCGATAATGTTAAAACATAGGCCACCGACACCGCTATATATAAGAGAGTATTTAAGCTTTATTTATCCATCTATGATTAAATAAGTTGAAAATATTCTAATCAAAATTAATGTCTTTAATAATACTTGGTTAACAACTTTAAATTTGTGTGAGATTTGTCCAAAATATGTATAAAAGTGTGTTGAAGCAAAGAAAAAAACAAATTTTTGTTTAAAACATTCGCCTGAATTGTCAAACATATGTGTTGTGAGTGTCGTATGGGTGTTAACCATTGATTCGAAGAGTGTCGAAACAAAGAGAAAAACTATTTTTTAGTGGACACTTGCCTGACTTTTCCGACACTTCTTTGACTTTTCCGACACTTCTTTGACTTTTCCAACACGTGTCGTACGGGTGTCATACAGGTGTTGGACACCGACGCGTGTCGGACACCGCGACACGCCTACTCCTAGAGGTGTCCGTGCTTCATAGGTTTATAGTGTTGTCGATGGCAGATGATAAGTGCTTCGAGTGTTGTCAATGGCACATGGCACGGAAGCTTTGAGTCACCATCATAGCGAATTAAAGTGGAAACCCGCAACATCGGCCGATATTTACCTTTGTAGCTATGTAACCCTTCTATAAAACCATATTCCAATCAATGTTGTCAGATATCGGTCATGGCGGGATACTGGTGGCGGTTTTTTGGCTCTCCTCCACGGTCAAATTTGTGAAGGATGGTGGTGCCATATGTCACACTTTATTGCGGAATTTCTGCTCTCCACTGTGGCCACCATCTGCCATCGATAACGCTAATTTCAATAATAAAGGATTCTTCAAGCTACAACAGGTTATGTAAATTCATCTTCAACTATTACATAAACAGATTCAAACATGAGAAGAAGAAAAAACAGAGAATCCCAAACGAAAAAACTGAGGAAAAAGGCATTACCAAGCAGCGCCGAGAATGAAGACACCGACAGAGATACATGCATAATAAATCATAATTTCCAAACATAAAATCAATATGAAGGTTGTCACTTATTTAAACTAAACCTCAAAACTTTTTGTTCTTTTCACATACTAAGAATCAACACATAAAAGCAATGAAACAAAGCCATAAAAGAAATAACTAAGCAACATAACATCCAATCAATGTCATTAACATTGAAGAACTGATTATTTAATTATTGTATACTTGTTAGACAATTGGATGCCTATCTGTATCAAAATTGTCTCTCTAATAATCAATGAAATGAATGAGAGAAAGATGCAGAAAGAGTACCTCGGAGGTTGGACTTCCGATTTCAACGGCGGAAAAGGGAGGGAGAGTTTTTGAGAAAACTTTGATGGATTGAGATTGGAATGTGGAGAGAGGCTGGAGGCGGAGCATGGTGTTCTGAGGTGTGCGAGGAAGAAGAAGAGAGGCGGTAAGACGGTGGCCGGAGAAGAAGAAGAAGAAGAAATGCTTTGCCAGAGAAGAGAATCAAAGCCCTAATCTCTGTTCCTGCGGAAATCCCAATCCCTTTATAAGTGATGATGAATTTAGAAATGTACATTCTGATTCCGAACTAGATCAACACGAAAACCTAAGCGAGTGAAGAAAGAGTAGTCAAGCTATTTTAAGAAGTCTTTCTTTGGGATCATCATTGTAGAACAATCATAGTCGATTCTTCATGTTCTAGTATAGTGATAGTCATTTTGTTATAATCACAAAAAGTTTTATTTGAAATGAAGCAGGTGATAAATAAATTTGACAAGATTATCCTTTCTATATTCAGGAAGAAACCTTT